TGACGGGGTTAAGCTCTGCGAGTCTACTAAACAACTGATAATAATTAATATTACTTACAACTAATGGTTACCAATTTTATGACAACATTATGTTACTTTTTTTTGTTACTTATTTCATAATACCACAATAAGACCCATTAAAGAGCTCCTTTTATTTTCTTGTTATGAATATTAATTGTTTAAGTATTATTTAATATGAAAGTTTCATTTTGCTGGGATTTTCGTTTTTAGGAATCTCAAAGTTTTAGTTGATTTGATATTAATAAACAGTTTAATAGAATTTTTTTTCTCAATCATTTGGAGGCTTCGTAAATTTGTTTGCTAATAACGGCACAACTACACAGAAAAACAAAATATTAATGAATATTTCTACCGCAACATCAATGCGGTCACATTTAGTTGTGTAACGAACAATTATTATAAATAACTTGCTCAAATAATTTTATAGATTGGAGTTTACGCTTTAAATTAAATTCGACCCACGATCATTATATATTATGATAATTAAACACAAATAATTAAATTATTTGCATGAAACAAAGTGTATTATAAATAACGAGTAGAGGAACATTTACTTTTATATATTTCTCGATGTAAGTATGCGACATCATATATTTTTATCCCTGAGGAAAACACGGATAAAAACCCTATCATAGTTAGTATGCCTGAGGCAAAATTAAGTATATTTCTATCACTTTACATATTTTAATTCAGTTCTAAATAGATAATCTTGAATATGGATACCATCGGAACACTACCTAACATTAGATATTAAATAACTTAAAAACTCTAACAGATTATAGTATTGCATGAATATCAGCACTTCGTTTAATGCCCGCGAAAGAACATAATGAGACGTCTATATTAATAAAGAGGAAAGATTTGTTTGTTTATTTGTTATGAATAGGCTCCGAAACTACTGAACCGATTTCAAAAATTCTTTTACCTTTGGAAAGCTACATTATTCCCGAGTAATATAAGCTATATTATTTTAAATAAAAATTAGGGATCCTTACTAAAACTCCAATAATGTAACCCAAGGTGTAAAAAAATGATCTGAAAAATTCCTTAGGTCGCGTGCGCTCCGAAAACTATTGATGATAGAACCAAATCATTTACTACGACTTTGCAGAACTCATCATCATCTACAAAAAGTGTCGCGACAGCATATGTCTTAATATTATAATTATGTCACAGGAAGCGGTTTTTTATTCTAAAAATTTAATTTATATACCGCCGCTTGAAAAGGCTCTTTATTTGTACCTTGGTATTAATCCTTATCAAAATAAATTACCTTATATTCAAGACGGTTTCAATACCTTTTCATAACTCTTTGAATTATTCAATTCGAACATTTCATTCGGAAGGTATCACGAGTTTAAAAATGCTAGTATTAGAAAAAAGTCCCGTGGTTGACGCTCATCGCGCTCAGCTAGCCAGCATGCGATGTAGGCTCCATGTAAGCGTCACTGGGGTACGAGGGGGGAGTCAATCACAACTAATATTATAAATGCAAATGTAAGTCTGTCTGTCTGTCTATCTGTTACGCTTTCCCGCTTTAACCTCTCAACCGATTTTGATGAAATTTGGCACAGACAATCTTTAGACCCTGAGAAAAAACATAGGCTACCTTTTATTGCGAAAAAGGGGATGAAGAGGTTGAAAGTTTGTATGGGATTTCTTAATTTTAAAAGATATAACCATGAATATTTTTATTTAAGCACTTGATAAGATATATTTAAACATTTGTTCTAGCGTTTTTGAAATTTCGACCAGTGAGGAGGTGAAATAAGGGTTGAAAGATTGTATGGGATTTCTTAATTTTAAAAGATAAAACCATGAAACTTTATATTTAAGCACTTGATAAGATATATTTAAACATTTGTTCTAGCATTTTTGAAATTTAAAATCGTTTGTTAATTTGACCACCGTGGGGGTGAAATTCTACACACGGAATTCCCGAAATTCGAACAGAACGGAACAGGAACTACGAAGCTAAAATTTTTGTATACAAAATTTTAACCACTGAACCTAGGAACATCATATTTAGAAGTTTTACGTGTATCAAGTTAAAAAAATTGGCTTTTGAAGTTAAAGTTCCTTTAAACGAATAGGTAATCTGCATCGCTGCCGCTGAAGTCGGTCGTCGTCGCCGCACAGTGGGAAAGCCCCATACAAGGCCGTCTCAAAACCCCTTCACTTGAAAGTCGTTGTTATGGAGTAAAACTAATTAATTAATATAGTCTTATAAATAAGCTGTCTTTTCTATATTTTTTTAATTATTTTTTGCAAACCATAATATATATTAAAAGGCATCAAAGTTAACTCATGTTCAATGGTGTTACTTTGGCCCAGAACATTATTTCAATTCAACGCCACATTACTTGAAAGTATTACTAATATAATATTATAAATGCGAAAGTAACTATGTCTGTCTGTCTGTCTGTTACGCTTTCACGTCTAAACCACTGAACTGATTTTAATGAAATTTGGTACAAAGATAGAGTTGACCTTGAGAAAGAACATAGAATAGTTTTTATCGCAGACTTTTGAAAAGTTTCTCTTGGAAACGCTATATAACCGAACTCCACGTGGGCGAAGCCGCTGGCGGAAAGCTAGTTGTTAATACAAGTATAATAATTCACAAGAGTATCAAGAATAAAGATTTTATAAACAGTAAACTTATCAAAGTTTATTAACTTCGTTTACTATACAAAGAACACTTCCGATGAATTTCTTTATACTGCCTTTTACATATGTAACTTGAAATGAATGTTATTGTTTGTAGGTAAAATCTTGGAGCTGAATTTGAAGGGACACCTTTAAACAATTATGTGTGAACTCAATTTGACTCACAACATATGGTTACATTTACGAGGTCATTTTTTATTCAAAATGGCGACATTTTTATCCAAGATGACGGTCCAGTACTTTCTAATGCCCTCTCAAGTTGATGAAACGAAAATGTCTGCTAAGAATATATTGAAAAATAAATGTCCTTCAGTTTACAACTACATACAATGACGTACTTTTAATGATAGAAGTTTTATCTATAAAAATATAAATCCTCTTTCAAGAAATAATCTAGTATTAAATTATTTAAATGAAAGCAAAACTGAATTTTATTTTACTATGATTTTCTTATCCTACATCAAAGCCATACTGCGGCGCTTATTAATTATAAATTTTCGTATAAAAGACAATAGGGTCAAGTTATCTGAGTATATTCCGCCGAAGCATTCACAATTCATTTCATATTGTTTATTTACAATAGCTCGATAGACGGAAATAAAGTTTATGTCCCCTATTATTGATGTCAATAGTTTTTATTATAAAAATATTTTGTTCTATTTCATGGATAAAAATTAAGTAATTCAATTTTGATAGCTGGTCCACCTTACTTACGAAAAAATATAAACTTTCACTTTTTGTTTTACTCAGTATTATTATTATAGTTTTATAACATTATACTTAATTTAATTATATAACATTTTAAAAGAATTAAAAAAAATGTAACCTTTCTAACATATGTTAAAATATTCGTAGAAACAAGATCAGAAATGAGTTTTTAAAATATCGATTTAAACTAAACATGTATATACATATATCATCGTCATCGGCCTATCAGAGCCCACTGCTGAGCAAAGGCCTCTTTCTAACATGGAGAAGGTTTAAGCATTAATTCCCACGCTGGCTCAAGACAGGTTGGTGATTTCAAAAATATAATTGTGAAATCATAATTATATTCAAGGGATTGAGACAATGACGCTAGTGATGGACGAATTGAAAAAGTCTTTGTGTATGCATATTGTGAGATGTAGTAAGAGCTATTAGCTAAGACCACTGGACCATGGACCACTTAATATATAACATGAATCAAAGATGAGTGACTGTTGAGATAGTGACTTATAAAGAAAAATGTATCTAATAGAACATGGTATGCCTACAACGTATACAGTTTATTAAAGACCGGAAAGTGGTGGCTGTCTTTTAAAAGTATAAAAAAATGAGTGCTAGTCAACTTTGCATTGAATATTATTATTTTTTTATAAACTTAAGAAGCTGTTAGACATTTATATTTTTAACTCTCATTTTCAATAAAGAAAATTGTTAAATACAATTTTGTTTCCTTGAACCTTACATTATAATATCTAACTACGAGTACATAGTATATTTCTTTGTTAATAAATACAAAAGAATTTTTTATATTACTTGTATGTTAGTATAATATTTAAAATGTAAAAGGAAACATTATTTTTCTTTCCCTCTCTTATTATAAGCTTGATATTTTTACGATGTATTAAAATTCAATTTCAAAGTGTATTTAATTCTTTCTTTTTCATTAACTATTCTGAGTTTATAGTACAATACAGCTACCATATATATTAAATCAGTAAATGTGTAAATTTATGTTCAAGGCTTTTCTTATATATACTCTTTATTGCATTAAATAATTAACAAAGGTTATTTTCAAAACATAATTATTGTGTACAAGGGCGGGCTTATTTCTAAAAGAAATCTCTTCCAGCCAACCCACAGCTGTAAGAGTTAGTGTGTTTAGCAGGTAAAACATTGTGCAATATAATGCTCTTAATAATATAATATATAAAAAAAAACAATTTCAATAAAACACATGATATAATAAATACTATAATAATATAATAAATACATACATACCCATACAACATCTAAATACATAAATATTATATATATATATTAAGGATTCTAATAAAACCCATATAAAAATATAGTTTTCTTATAAAGCCAGGACTTTTAAATAACAATAAAACCTTAACTAGAGCAAACTAATTATTATCTTAAGCCAAAACACCTTAAATTAGTTCAATTCTATTTACAATAATACAAGCCGTGTTCACAACATGTTTTCGCGCGTTAAAAGAGAACAAGTCAAGCGTCATAGCTTTAATATCGCTTCGGATGCGTTCGGGAATTTAAAGGTTCGGTTCAAATAAAAAGTGTGTTTCCTAAATCGGCCAATCCTGACGAAGCGTCGTCCTCGGCGCGCTCCTCGGCAAGGCCAGTTGACAGTGAAGCAACTGCAGCCGGAGGACCGCTCAAGCAGCCGAAGCAGCCGGAGGTCTGCCGAAGCAGCTGGAGGACTGTCGAAGCAGTCGGAAGACTGCCAAAGCAGCCAGAGGACTGCCAAAGCAGCCGGAGGACTGCCAAAGCAGCGGAGGACTGCCAAAGCAGCTGAAGGGTCGCAACTGAAGCTGAGGGGTCGCGACTGAAGCTGAAGGGTCGCCACTATATCCAGCTGTATCGGTACTTGGTCGAAATGACAATGATGATGAATCAATCTAATCATTTACTTCATCTGAAATCTGAATAGTTACTTGCAAGAGATTGTGATAATCTCATTGAAGACACATAAAGACACACAAAGTAATGTAACGTGTGAAAAATAAAATGAAAATAGTCTGTGAGGGCCCTCTAAATTAAAGTTCCTGTTTACACCTCTGTTCGTAGCGAGGTTCCGTCGAGACGTAAACCAGGCCTGCATCTGTAATCAAACCAGACAGAAGGCGTCCCAACTATCTGCGGTTGACGAAAGCAATAGTGCATCGCGCGTCAACACTTCAATAATATGATATTTTAAGGATGATATGAAAATGATAACCATGGACAGCAGCATCACTGACTCGCTAGTCCAATATGCGATCATCTCGCTTATGATATGAAAATGATAACCATGGACGGAAGCATCACTGACTCGCTAGTCCAATATACGATCATCTCGCTTATGATATGAAAATGATAACCATGGACGGAAGCATCACTGACTCGCCAGTCCAATATATGATTATGTGGTTTATGATATGGAAATGAATATGAACATGAAAATGATTATGTGGTTCATGATATGGAAATGAATATGAACATGAAAATGATTATGTGGTTCATGATATGTTAATGAATATGAAAATGGTTACCATGGACAGAAGCATCATTGAATCGCTAGTCCAATACATGATTATGTGGTTTATGATATGAAAATGATTACCATGGACATAAGCATCACTCAATCGCTAGTCCAATACATGATTATGTGTCAAAGCCAGCCACCAGCTTGTTCTATGTAACCAGGTTTCACTCCCAAGAACTGCGCATGATTCCAAACACCTCTCTCGGTTCACAGGTAACCATGGACTCGGCCACCGCTCGTGTAGTTTCCTCACACGAACCGCTGATGAGGTCAAACTGGTAGCAACCACCTGATAGGACTCGAACTACGCCTTCGGTCCACGTATACTAGGTTTTGGGCTGCCTTTGAATTGCAAATATCTAATCAAGAAAATTAAATAATTAAAATTGTGAGAACGCTGTCTCCGCCTCTGACAATTTACGTAAGCCTTGTTTGACTTGATGTATCAGCAGCCGGTGAGCTCCCTGATAATACACACGTACACACAGTGACGGTTCAATAGACAAGGGAAACAAGGTTACACAAACACATTAGTTACTACAGATGGCGATAGTCACATATATTTACGGATAGTTATTATAATACTAACGCCTCTGCTTAACAAAATGATAAAAAGTTTGAAATAGCTAGTATACCAAGTTGTTAATTAAAATATTTATGCTTTAAAGAACCTAAACTTTTTGTTAAAATTTCAGCTGGCATTTTAGCAGTTTATAAATAATCAATTTTAACAAATTTATCTGCTACTGCCTGTCTGACAAAATGGTATCTGACATCTATATGTTCCTATGGCATACTGGATTCAAAACAAGTCTTATGCCCTTTGACAATCTTTGTAAAAAGTAATTGTTTCTGGATTACTTTTAATTACAAAATTAAATAGCCTTCAATTTCAAAATCAAATAGTCTTTTTAATTAAATGACCTCCTTACTGGCTTCTCACATGGAAATATTATCTGCTTGTGTTCAAGACAAAGCTATATTTCTGTGTTTTCTTCTTTCAAAAGAAATTACTCTACCAGACAACTTAAAATCCAAAAAAAGATTTTCTATCATTTGAATCTGAACCCTAATCTGCATCACCACATCCTTGTATATAAGAATTATCCTTTAATAAAAACAAAGCAAAACATTTTAGTAACTTTTAAGTAATTCAAAATTGTTTTAAGTGTTTTCAATGAGTTCCATCATATGAGTTATTAAACTGACTCAAATAACATACACTGTAAGCTAAGTCTGGTCTAGTCAAGACAGCTAAATACATAAAATTACCTATCAGTTGTCTATATGGAATTTTCTTATCACAAGAACTGTTCTTAGATTTTTCTATCCTTACATTAATCTCTATAGAAGTTTCAACAGTTTTACAATGTAACATATTAAATCATTTCAGAAAGCTTTCTACAGTTCTTGATTAGCAGTTAACATTTCGTTCATATTTATTATTTACTCTTTAGCCTAAACATTGCTTTATTTGACCTAGATCTTTTATTTTAAATTTACTGCTTAAATCTTGTATTGACTGATTAGTAGCCATTTTATATTTAAAGAATACAAACAAAGCTATTATAACTAAACACTTAAACATTATTATTTTTTTTAAGCTTTGTAAATAAACAAGGTTCATACTTAGATTTTAAATGACCTAAAGACCTTAAATGATCACTGACTCTCTCATACCATGCATGCAAGGACTGCTCAAGTCCATAAATGACATGTTTAAGCCTTGTTACCATCATTATTATCATCCTCATACAATACAAGATTTTTCATATACACATAATCAATTAGGAAAGCTCTTGTAATACAGATGGTGTAAATCTAAACCTAATTTTACAGTTAAAGAAAATAAAAATCTTAGAGTAGAATAATATAGTACAGGGAAAAGTCTCATGATAGCCTATGCTGGCTTTCTGTGAAAACTTGCCACTAATCTTGCATGGTAACGCACATTACCAACATTATCAGACTTTGTTTTTAAATACCCATTTGTACTGAGCTACCGTAGAATCACAAGAGTTATCCACAAGTTCTCACACATCATTTATCTTAAACGACTCTAATTCTACTTCCATACTTACTCTCAGTTTCATTTAAAGCTCTCTGTGTGTAATATCCATTACATTCTGATCATCTGATTCTACAATACATAAATATTAGTAGGTGAATCTATCAGATACTTTTTTCAATTGTAATAAAAATAAAATAAAATTGTTTGTCCAAAGGGAAAGTTTGGGAAAGTCCAGACTCAAGTCTACTAATGATTTGATGATGATAATAATAGTCTGGTTTTGATGCTGTATCAGAAACACTCTGAAATGAATCACTTACTAAATAATCTAATGGAATATATGTGACATTACTACCATTACATTCAGTATTTATGATATCTGCATTACCATTTTCTTCTTTTTCACTTTGTTCCCCGTTGAAACCTTACACTCAATAGTAATATTAACTGTATTTTTGGTTGGTTACATTATAAGGATGTCTCTACTAGTTTTAACTGAGTTGTTTTCAGGATTATAAACCCTATAGCTTTTTAAATTCACTTCAAAGCCTATCAAAATAAGTTCCTTATCTTTCATATCCAATTTCTAATATTTTTCTTTACAGCTGACAACTTGCATTAAGTATTTTGTGTATTATTAGATAAATATTGCTACTGAATTCGGTAAGTAGAAAACTAGAAAAATTCCAAAATTCACTCACAGTCAGACACTATGAAGCTAAAGAGTGAAACTATATTGGTAAACATGAACTAACCCATCTTATAATGGTTACGAATTAATAAATAAAACTTACCGAATGCGTGTACTATTAATAAAACAAAATTTGTACCTGTTAGGCTCATGCCTTAATTTGAATTGCTTGTTCGTTTTGTTTTAATCTCCCAGTGAAAGAGTATACAAACCAACAGTTTCGTTATTTTGGACTTCACTGTTTAGTCGCTTTACTTGAGGTAGCGTTAAACTTCTAATATACTGAAACGTAATATGGTGCCTGAAAAAGAATGAGTCCTACTTCTCGATCGTGATCTAAACTTATATTCTTAGATCGAGTTCTGTTCCAATTTTCCAAAACCAACGGTAGTTGTCTTGTCGACGCCACGTGTTTCGAGACTAATGTTATCTATCAATCTTATTCACTCGCAAGTAATTGTTAAAGTAGATTTGAAAACACATATTTTATCTTATTTATTACTTTTTATGTACTTAATCAAAAACGTATTACATAAATATAACTATGAACGTGAATGCTATCCCACTTCTGAATTAAGGATTCTAATAAAACCCATATAAAAATATAGTTTTCTTATAAAGCCAGGACTTTTAAATAACAATAAAACCTTAACTAGAGCAAACTAATTATTATCTTAAGCCAAAACACCTTAAATTAGTTCAATTCTATTTACAATAATACAAGCCGTGTTCACAACATGTTTTCGCGCGTTAAAAGAGAACAAGTCAAGCGTCATAGCTTTAATATCGCTTCGGATGCGTTCGGGAATTTAAAGGTTCGGTTCAAATAAAAAGTGTGTTTCCTAAATATATATATATATATATATATATAAATATATATATATATATATATATATATATATATATATATAAATATATATATAAATATATATATATATATATATATACAACAGTGAAAGAAAAAAAATAAAATAATATATATACATATATATTAGTTAATTTGACACTTTTATAACAATTGTGACAGAAAGTGCCCTTTTACTCTTTTTTTAAAGAGGCCAATGTTAGGACTCTTTTGGATGGTTTTTGGGAGATTGTTCCAGAGGTTCGCTGCACGTACAGAAAAAGAGTTATGCAGAAACTTTGTATTACTTCTGGGCACTTCTAACTCTGAAGTAATACAGGAACGTCTGGAACGTGTTGGAGGCGGGAGAAGGTTGAAACGGGAGCGAAGGTAAGAAGGAGAATTTGGATCATTAAGAATGTTAAAAAGGACCGAAAGGATGTGCATATCACGGCGAAGGCGGATAGGAAGCCATTTAAGTTGAGTACGAAAAGCAGATATATGGTCATATTTACGTAGGCCGTAAATAAACCGAATAGCCAGGTTTTGAAGACGCTCTAATTTATTAAGTAGCTCCTCAGTCACATCCAAATAGCACACATCAGCGTAGTCGAGGATAGGTAGAAGAAGAGATTGCGCTAGCATAATTTTTGTGCTGAAAGGGAGAAAGTATTGGAGACGTTTGAGAGAGTGGCAAGTGTAGTGTATCCGCTTGCTAACATCATTGACTTGGGCTACCCAGGACATATTACAGTCAAT